TCCAATGTAGCATTAAATCTAGCATCATGATAGATGAAAATATCATAGATTTCTAATTGCTTTTCAGTGATGTAATAACAATTCCATGAACACCCAGGTAAAGCACAGAAAGAGCCTGTTCTTATTTCGTAAATGCCACTTTCTATTAGCTCTCAGATACCTGAGGCACCGCATACTTGCGGGAATTATTGCATTTCTCAGGTAGTCACAGCCACTTAAGGTTTGGACGTGTGCCTCAGAATGTTGCCTGAAGGCTCCCTCACTTCCCAATAATGCAAAGCTTATTGTATCATATTACTTAATTCTACACTTTCCTTCCTTTCCATGGCATGCTGAGCAGATAGGAGAGGCTTTAGAAGAGATCTTAGTCAAAATGTGTTGATCAGTGGAAAGTGTCAGGAAACTGGGTACAGCCTCCTTAAATGATGAAGGAGAATAGGCAGAACCTGAAGTGAAAATGTGTTCCTGCAGTGTCCAAGGTAGACCTATTTCAACTGACACGAAGGGCCAAGTTCCTTGTAAGGCTAGCACTCTTTTAGAGAGTGGGAGAGCACATCCTCCACCCATCACACAGGCAAAGAGCTCTCTAAAATCGTCCCTATGCAAAGGTATAAAACATGTACACCCTTTGACTGGCTGCAGTGGCAGGTGGAAGGGGCCATTAAAAGGTTTTTTGACAACAGTCTATTCTTGTGTTTTCCTTCTTCATGCCTGTGAAGCTCTTTGTAGCTCAGTGAGAACAGCTGAAAGACCAGGAAGCAAGATAGAGTTATATCTGTAATCAGAAATAAGAAATAGGAAAAACTTTTAAGACATGAAACTTCCCAGCAGGATTTGCTGTCGTCATCTTCTTTATCCCATCCACAGTGTCTGGGCACCTGCTTACTGCACAGAAATGTTATGGATGATCTTTTCAGAGCTGATTCTCTTCTTATCACTAGAGATGTGAGACAGTTTTGGTCACCAGGACAGTTACTGCTGCTCCTGAGATTATTTAATTTCCATAGTTAACATCAGGAATCTCTTAAATTGTTTAATATTCCCTCATTTCTGACAAACCTATTTCCAAGAAAGCTAATGCTGTTGCAAACTTAAGGGTAGATGGTTCCAAGCTAAGAAATTATATTCTGCAGTCAGATCTCTTCCTTCCTCTGTGGTATTAGGTATTCTAGACCAGACTTTATACTTGGGTTTGTCTCTAAGGTACAGTTTTACTGCTAAGAAAGAAAGACTGCTAAAATGTATTGGAACAAGTTGAAAAAGAGTCAGCTAAATGCAAACAAACATCCTGCATTGCAGTATCAGAATCAAGGACTGGCAGCGCTAACAGCTTCATAGCCAGATACTCGTCATCACCCTGGGGTGATTGACTGTTGTAATTAGTAATTACTGGCCAACCGCAATTGCCAGGAGGGGAGGTAGGCTGAGCAGCAGCCATATGCCTTGACTAACATTTGGCACAAGGAGAGAACTACTGCAAACTGAGAAAGAGCTGCAGGGGCTTGTGGGGGACTGCTTCACTCTGGGGGCAGCTGATTATGTCCTGCACCACTTGGATCATTGAAAGGGTTGTGCTGTGTGTAGGAGAGGTCAGCGCTTGCAGTGATATGAGCTAAAAGGAATGCTCCTTTCTATTCCAGAGGAAAACAAAATCTCACAAATTATTTCAATCTGAAAATGAAATTTTTCCAGTCTCCTACATTTTTTTCTACAAAGGATTCTTGTATCCCTACGCCACTCTGGGAAGATGTTACATGCATTTTAGTGGCTTTTGTTTTGCCAGGGAGTGTTGGGAGCCAAACTGTAAATGAGAACTGAGCCCCTGGGGTCTGAGAAAGGGTTTTTGTGCAAGGGTCATGGCCAAAGATGAGGTCCAGCTTTCTCTTGGAAGTTTCCTCAGCCTGGCTGTCAAGGTAAGGAAGATTCATGACGTCAAGCAGATTTCTGCCATGCAGTCCAGGAAGACCACTGCACCAGCATGCAGAGCATAGGTACAAGTCGTTAGCAATATGTTTTAGATCCGTGGTTCACTTTCAGTTCCATTTATCCATGTCTTCTCCTTGCCTATTATATGTCTGAAGCTTGATGGGCTCCTTTATATTCTTTTCTGTGACCAAATCCATTCTCGTAACCTGTCTTTAGCAGGGGTCTGGATACAGTCTTATTCAAGAGTCACCAGTGGTGGTCTAAATACTGGACAGACAGATCTAGTAAAGATAAAATGCATGTACTCCTGCCATTGCTCTCCTAGTCCTGTCAGACTCGAGTGCTGAGGATCTCAGCATGTTAGGTGCTACTGAGTTTAGTTCACCCAATGTTTTTGTCAATGGTGTTTCAAACGTGGTACTTCTCTATAACCTGTCTTTCTACTTAAGATTTCAATTTTCTGTTGCATGAGACTCTATTGGGTTGCATTGAACTAGTGAAGAAAATAGTTAAACTAATAGCTGTTCCAAATTCAGGGTTCCCTGTGTTAGAATAAGTCTTATACTCTGAAAATGAACAGTAGGCTGAGAAAGTAATCTTCTACTAAAAAAGTAAGAAACAAGCTCTTTTCTCCTCAATTTGCTAGTACTGCCAGTCATTTAGCATTCATGTTGCCACTCCTACTGTGATTATTTGTTTTCCTTTTACTGCCTATTATACTTTCTAACCCGTAGTCTTACATTTTGCCACTGGTCTCTGTTTCTCCTTTACAGACATCTCCCAGACTCCATGACTCTCTAGCTGATGTTTATTCTCTGCAAGTTCCAGGCCCTGCGCTCCTCTGCCCTTTCCTCAGTATCCATGGGAACATGGTCATTGTCCCACAGTTCAAAAGATAGATTCAGTGTCCACCTTCGCTTTAAAGAGATTCACTTCTCATCTGCTGCATGAGAGAGTGCCCTGCCTTCCTACATGATGCAGAGTTTGAGAATAGGCTTTTCTACATTTATTCTGTATTCTTGTGTTCATCTTGTAAGTTGAAAAACTCTTCCTTTGCCAGGATCTACAAAGACAAGAGCTTTTTCTAAGCTTTTGGCTGGCAGAAATGAAGCCACTGAAGGCAGTTTCCCAGCGGCTGCGTGTCCTCCCCCTGGCTGGCCACGCTCGTTAGCGTGCTTCCTCCCTACCTCTGTGCTGCGTGTTGGGGGAAACATTCGTGTGCAAATGCAGTAGCTTCTTCAGGGGAGACCAGAGCAATGGTCTAAACCATTACATATGTGGCCTCAGTAAGTGCTCTTCCCTAAGTCAAGCTGGGGAAAAGGCTTGAGCCATAACAGAGACCAGTTTCTTCTTCACAGTTTCTGAAAGCTCCTGCCCCCACAAGCACCACACTGTTTCTAACTCAGCAGAGACATTGAATCCTGATCCTAGGAATCTGATTAATCCTTCCTGAGGATCTGTGTCTGTCTCTGACCTTCTACATGGAAGGTCCAGCATAAATGGAGCAGCTAAAGCTTTCCAAGACTTGTATTTGCTTGCTGTTTCTCAGCAGGGGGTCACCGCTTGCCTCACCCCCATTGACATCAGGGAGGTCCATAAATCAGCTGTACCTTGATAGTGCAACCCTCCTGATGCTCATTATGCATCTCACTGCTGGGGGAAAACACCACCTTTGGTGCCAAGTACAGTAAAGAACGTGCCTGGGTTTAAGAAGGAGCCATAGGAGGGAATCACAACATTTCCAAACCTTGGCCTCTTGCATCACAAAAGCAAAGCATGCTCCTTGCCATGTCTCGAGCCATAACAAAAGCCCAAGGCCAACAAACAAAATGAACAGCTTTAAAACAACAAAGCTGTTCTGGATTGTGTATACACTGTTTGTTGCCACAATCTGGCCCGGAGTTACCATCTCATATTTCCCTGCCAGAATGATGGAAACATAAATAGGGGCTATAAACTCAAATATTTCCAGCTTATACATCCAAAGCATAGAAATTATAGTCTCTTAACAAGGAAAATGTTCGAGGGTAGTGAGGTAATGGGACCTGGTTACAGAGCTCGTTTCTTTGAAAAACTTTAATACAGCATGGAAATTTTTTCCAATGTCCTTGATGCAACCTTTGGTAAAGTATAAAATAATCCCCTGCTTCAGTGGAAAAGCCCCTTCTATGACTTCAGGAATGAACTGCTGAGCTCCATTTTGGAAATAACTTCTTTCCAGCTGCTATTTCCAAAGACTTTTGAATGGCTCCAAAGACACAATATCAGCAAGGAGTGAGTTCTGGCTGACTGAAAGCTAAACCATTGCCTATTGGCTTGCCTAGCAAGTGCCTCACTTTTCTGTCCATTTGGTTTCAGCTGCTGCCTTTGAACCATAGGAATCCCAGCTCCAGTCTTGCTAAATAATGCTCTGGAAGTCCATACCATGAGTCACATCACTGGACTGGGGGCTCTGCTCATTTGAGTAATTGCATTATCATATCTACCCTTAACTTGTTGACATGTAGCATAAGAGCCCAGGATGTGCTGTGTATGTAGTACGCTGATTAAAGGAGGAATGTGTGTTAATGCATGGATGTGTATGATAGCTTTTTGAAATCCCTCATGATCTTCCCACCCACTGGGCATTGCTTCAATATCCAGTTCAATCATCAGGAAACAAACTCTTGCTCCCTCATCTGCATAGCACATTGCAACAAGTGTTGCCAAATATGGCCAAGCTTTTCAAAAGAAAAGAGAATCCCCTCCCCCCCCCACCAAGTAAATTTATGACTCTTGGCTCCACTTGTGGCTTGTTCCTATGCATGCCTGAGTGACATGGAAATTGTAGCAAAACTGTTTGGCATCTTTCTACACTCTCACACTTGCAGCTATGTTAGATTTTTCCTTTTTTTAATGATTTGGGTTTCTTGTTTGTTTTGTTACCTTCTAACACAAGTAATGCATGACTGGAGGCCCCAAGAAGAGCAACATGTTAACGAAAGGAAAAGGGGAAGGATGGCAAAGAAATAGGGAGAGGTAAGAAGCACTGCTGAGTGTGGAAAGTAAAACATCACACCCATTGTGTCTTCCAGGTCCTTCAAGCCTGACTTTGTTCTGATCCGGCAGCATGCCTACAGCATGGCGCTGGGAGAGGACTTCCGCAGCCTCATCATCGGCCTCCAGTACGGTGGTATCCACACAGTCAACTCCCTCTACTCCATCTACAACTTCTGCAGCAAGCCCTGGGTGGTAAGTGGCAGTCCAGCCCTACTGCATGTCGACGCTGCAAAGTAAAAATCTAGTATCAACAAAGTACCAAACTCACCCTCCAGTTTGTTTTATAGGAATCCATCTCTTTAGGCTAAAGCCAAACCTCGACAACCCATCCAGCATTTCTCCTTTATGAGCCTCTAGTAATATCACGGTGTTATTTCCTCACCCTGAGTAGAAAGTTTCACCTATCCCAGATGCTACTGTGTGGCAGACAGACAACAGCACAGTAATATTTAGATTTCTTGTACAGCACAGTAGTTTGTATGGCAGAATACAGCTTGTATGGCACAGTAGTTGAGTCAGCTTTTGATAGCAGTACAGGATAGTGTTTTGATAGTTTTGCACTGTGAGCCTCCTTCACCTGTTCTGTAAGTTTAATCAAGTTAATTTGGAAATCTCAGGAAATCTTACAAAATGTTGGCATCGGCTTACTCAGCCCAAAATAAAACTTGTAATAATTCCCCAGACTTATGTTATGACCTTCTCTAAGCCAGCAGAAACTGAAGGAGCAAGAGGGCCAGAGGAGTAACACTGGCCATTATAGGACCTGCAGGAAGAAGTCAGATGCCAACACCATTTCAGAGTCCACACTTGGTCTTCCAAGCAGTTTCATCCCAAAGTGCCCTCCCTGGTCACTGGTACTCCCAGAAAGGAAATTTCCCCTGCATTGTTCTAGGAATGAAGCCAGGAACTATAAGCTATACAAAAGTGACAAGGACACAGGACTTTCCAATATCTCCCCCACTGGAAAAATTTCAGATACTTTTTTAGGAATTTCCTTTTCTCATTGCACAAATATAGCCCGGGCTGAGACGTAACATTTATAGTAAGAGGTAACCGTCTACCTCATTACTTTATTAAGGCTTTTTTCACTTTCTTGGAATAAATACCCTATAAGTCTTCAGTATGTTTATTGGTAGTTCAAATCCAGCTGAGGCCTGTAATGATTCAGTCCTTTTTTTTTCTATGACTATGCAATGCTGGATTTAATCCATTTCTTACTGAAAAGGTACCAGCATGATAGACATAGCTGTCTCAGTTTTCACCTGTTTTATGACATTTGGGGTTTTCACTGAGACCAAAGATATAGCATTGCATAAGGCCAAGATTTAGCAAAAAGGACACCTAGATTTCGGTTTCTAAGTCTGTATTTAGGTATTTACATATGCAGCCTGGCTTTCCAAAGCATTGTGTGACCTGTAGGTCACCGATCTGAGTCTAGCACTAACTGTTTCGTGGAAGCAACATGCTGATGTCTGCAAGCAGAGCTGAAGGCCAGAACAGTTTCCAGCCTCTCAGAATTTCTGCAATGTTAATCTCTTCTGGAATACCAGGGGGTCTTGAAAATCAGGACTGCTTTTTCCCCACCATTTGGTGCAATGATTACAAGCACGTCTCATTGCTATTGCTATCAATCTGACATCCCATCTAGACAGCTTTAAAGCTCTCATCACCACTCAGAAACCAAAGCTGACGCCGGTTGTCGTGCCCTTCGGTGTCTGCGCCTGGACAGTGAGCCCTGGAGAATGCATGCAGGTGATCAGTACACAAGACAGCATCCTGCCTTTTCCAGAAAAGCTGCAGTGCACCGATACACTGGGTAATCCCAGGCCTCTCCTCCAGGAGAAATCTCACTTTTCCATCACTAAATGGGTAGCTGATGCACATTTGCCCTCTGTGCCCATTTGAATGGCCAGGGTTGCCAGGAATGGAAAGGGAAGGAACAGGGGGATCAGCACAAGGTTCAGTATGAGATTTTGCCTTTTTTTTCTACAGTTGGTCTGACAGGCTACAAGTGAGTTGACCTCAGTGACCAGATAAAAAGTCTCTGCATTTACACTGGCCTTTGCTGAGGAAGATGGTCATGTGGTCTCTTCCATCTGACTTTGGGTTTGAGTCTGTCACTGTTTAGCTGACATTTTCCAAGTCATTCCTTGTAATTATGGTTGTGCTGGTGTGCAGGGGCCTCAAGATGTGACAGGCTTATTTTTAGGAATCTAAAATAAAAGAAAACAAACAAACTCAGCACATCATTGTAAAAAAAGAGCAAGGCTGGCAAAGTAGTGTGGGAGAAATTGGCTCTGCCAGGAACTCAACTCTAGCTATTCTGGGTCTGGTTCTGCCATGCTTTACTCCTGGGGAATACAGCTGGCTCAGACAGCCCTCCCAGAAAAGTCAAGGAAACCACTTGCAAACATTTAAAACACGTTTACAGAGTGCATCTTCTCCCTTCTGCCCCCTCACATGCGTTACCCTCTCCCCCGCAAATAAAAAGACTGTAACAAATTACGTAATCTAAGACCTCAAATGGGACCTGAGCTGGTATTTGGCACCACTGGAGTTTTTCAGGTTGAGATTAGCTCAGGTGGAGATTGCAGTGAGGCACCTGAGGAGGGCAGAAAGCTTCCCTGGCAGCAGAATCAGAAGATTTTGTGAAGTTGGAAAATGAGAGACAGCGACAGACCATTTTACTGTAGTGCATGTTCCATTTTGATTGCAAAATAGGCATCTTGAAATGAGGTATCTGTTTAACAGAGATTACTGGAAACTTTTTGGACCTATGAAATGGTTGAGATACATTAAGAAATGAAATTAGATCCTCTTGGGAAATGTGCTTTTTTCACTCTTCCTTTTTTTTTTTTCCAAAAATGGTTCCATTTCATAGAAATGTTTATGATTTTGTGAAGGGGGATGGAAGGAAGACTGCTTTTTCTTGGCAATTTGCAATGATGTTTTCTCAGCAACTGTAATTACAATCAGCTGAGTTTGGGCTTGAGTTTACTCAAACATGCAGACCCATTTTTTAATGACATTTGCCAGGTTTCCAGTGCTGCAATACACATTTCTTCAAAGGTTAAAATTTGCATTAAAGACAGGCACAGTTTGAAAAAGATGTTTCTGAAAGAAAAACAGACATATTCAGGGGGGGCTCACACATAGAGAAATGAAGTGTAAGATGATCACAGAAGTATGGAGAAATAGTGCTACAAGCACACTAAAAACAATGCTTCAACCAGCCATAATGATTTTTGTGTTGTAAAAGTTACAATACAAAATACTGCAGGAACAATGCTCAGAGTAGTACTCATATTAGATGCAGTAATGTCCATAATTGAAAGACAACTTTTGCATCTGTAAGATTTCAGGAAATATGAAGTCTTGAAGATTGGAGTCTTCTTCAGAGACCAGGAGAATCCCAGTCAAAGTACCATTGACTGAAAAGCAGTATCTGGTTCCTGGTGGCCCAGATGCTTTAAAAATATGCACCATAGGCCTTGAAATCCATTCAGTGGACCTTGTTATTTCTCTGTAAAGACTCCCTACCTGAGCAAATCCAATGCAGAAGAAGCCAAACCAGCTTAGGCAAGGCAGTGCACTTGCCTATCTGCGCCAAGTGCATATAAAACCCAGACTGTGCTGCATTGTCTTGCCCAGAGCAGCTCTGTGGTCTGGACCCAATCTCACTAAAATTAGTGGGGGGCCACAGAAAGTAAATAATGATAGCAAAATGTGGAAGAAGAGAAAGTATGTCTAGCTGAGCTGCTGACAGTGACATTCCTACCCATCTAAAACACCAGGATGGCTACTTGAGCTCTTTTATCAGGTGTCCAAAAGGCTGCTGTAATATGCAACATGGGTGTCTCTTGGCCAATATTCTGCCCTTGCCAGTCATGTCCACCCCCAAAAAAGGAGGGAGCTGACCCAGGAGGGTCAATACCAAAGTCAGAACTTTTTGCAGGCCTGACCCACTGGAGGGCCCTCAGTTGGTTCAGTTACTCACCTGTTTGTCTGAAATGCTTGTTATTTCAGACACTGCCAAGAGCGAGCTGCATGCTTCAAAAGGAGGCCCAAGGAACAAGTCAAGATGCCATTTGTCAACTGCACAGTTGTTCCAGTTGTTTTGGTAGTGCTGCTTCCCCGGGATCACACGGATTTTGCCTCATTGCCACGGCATCCACGGTTCACCAGGGCGGCACGCACGCTCAGCGTGGAGCATGTGCTGCTCTCAGCCAGGGTGTTTTTTTTAACTCTCCCTGTCGCTGTCTCATTCTGTTTAACTTTTAAGTCCTGTTTGCTCGCTTTGGTAGTCAAAATAGGGCTTTATTTTTCTTCTCTGGGATGTGCAGGGCTAGTGCTAGTAGTTAAGAGAAGCAAGCTGTCCTCCTTCCCCAGTATCAACACCCTCCTTGCCAACAATAATTATTCTACATGGGGAGTTTTTCCTCTTATCTGCTGATGCATGTGAGTGGGTGCCGGTACTAGCGATGGGATATGCCAGCTCTTGATGATTTCTGGACTTTCTTAAACGCCATATTTTGACCCATGATATTAGGAAGAGGATTCTTTGCATTTGTGTGCAAATCTGCTGGCAACTGCCCTTTCAGCATGTGCCTGGGGTCTGGCACACACCCTGCAGCCTGATTTTTTTTCACACTGGCTGAATTTTTTACACACATATCACCCTAAAACAACCAAAGAGGTATTTCACTATCAACAAGTGAAGATTCAATATCATATACAGAAATGCTTCTGCTTAGACTAGTCTAGTGATTCTGACAGGAGCCCTAACATAGGTATTTAGCAGAAAACGTTCTCAGTAGCTCTCTCTTTATTTGCAATGTGACCTTGTGGCTGCAATTTAGTACTTTCACTAACTTCAGCCCATGTTCAGGAGTGTTTAGAACACATAAGATTAGGTAGGTCATGCCACTGGGGAGAAAGGGAGCTTTCTTTCCTCTTCCTTGTTCCCTAAATTTCTACTCCCTTCCCTTAATCTGTGTGTGAGCTCCCTCAAGATGAAAGCATCCCTAGGGTTGCTGGGGAACTTGAAGGAGCTTGCGTAAAGGACTCCACAGTGGGACTTGGCCCAAACTGGAGGTTTTTCACTAATTTAACTTGATTTACCAAATTTCCAGGTATTGTTTTACTTTCCATTCAGAGGGCTTGCAAATTAGGTTCAGTTTGTAAATTGCTTTGCAAACAAGACATCAGTGGGAAGTTCATCTACCAGCTCAGCAGGAGCCAAGATTCTCTCTTCTTTTGGAGCAATCCATGATCATTATATTCTCTTAACACTCAGGAAAAAAATTGAACTACGGTATTTAGCCTTATTCCCCTTTCTGCAAAACTGCCAGTCTAACCACATCACTGCCAGTTCAGCATTGTCTGTGGTAATGGGGAAAGAAAGCAGGATGGCTCGACGCATGATTCTAAAGACTCTTAAGTCTCTCCTGAGATCTCAAAGTTTTCAGGTATCTACATCCCATCTTGTTCTCTCTTCTATGTCTCAGTCCTGCTTTGACAACCTTTTCTGTCATGGGATCTCAGGGTATCATGTTTTCTTCCTTAGACAGAGTCTTTTTCCAGCCAACCAATGACATTATATAGGGAGGCTGCAGACAGTGTAAGGAAAAATCCGATAGCTTCACAGATGGCCAAAGTGGAGCAGGAATTACTTGTGCTATGCTTCTGCTGGGGTTATAGAAACTGAATAGAAATCAAAACTCAGCCCTCCTGAAACTGTTTTTTTGCCTCAGTGAGAGATTCTCATCCCATGTAGAGCTTTATATCTGGCTAGGCATGATATAGTTAATAGTAGTGATAATAGCAGTGATAATAGTAGTGATAATAGCAAAGCTCATGCTGTAGCCCTTGTACGTGAAATACCAGCGCTCTTGCTTTCCCTGTAGATGTTACATATTGCTTTCTCCAGACACCACTTTCACAGAACAGTACCTGCCTCAGACCTCACCGGTAGATGGGGCAAGGATAGCAGATGACCTCCCCTGTCCTCTGCCCTGCATGGGGGGATGTTGGGAGACTCTTGGCTGAGAACAAACGCCAGCAGGTTTAACAATGATCTCATGCTTCGCTGGGTAGCGCAGGCAACTCCTCCAAGTCACCTGTCTCGGTCAATAATTCACCTCCCCTTAAGTATCACGAGTAAATGTGCCTTACTTTGATTTGGCCGAGGGGGAGAGATGCAAGGGAGAGGTTTGATTCCTTTTGTCACCATTCCCAAGTGTGGCACTGATTTCCAGCCTCGTCATTCCTCTGAGCCCTTTCCTCTACAGAGAAGGGCCCGTCACCATCTCCCCAGCCATATTTGGAAAGCAAAGCTTGTTCATAGCAGATCTTTAACTGAATCCAAACTGATCCCCTTCTGGCTCTTTAACCTCTCCCTTGCTCTCACAGTCCAAGGTTTGTGTTCACTGCCTGGCTTGGCCCTGGTGACTACAGCAAGTTTGTATTTTTTTTACTACTGCTAACTCTAAAAAGCAAGGTGGGAAAGGCATAATAACATTTCTCTCTCCTCCTTCACCAGTATCAGAACATTTTGCAAGCACTTAACTGTAACACAACAGACCACTGATATCCTCTGTGTTTGTTTTTGTTTCTCCTCCCTCCCCCCCCAAGTTCTCTCAGCTCATTAAAATCTTCAACTCGCTGGGTCCTGAGAAGTTTCCCCTCGTGGAGCAAACGTTCTTCCCAAGCCATAAGCAGATGGTGAGTACCCTTTTCTTTTTCTGATTCCAATTCATGTTGCGGGGGGGGGGGAACAAAGAATACGAGTTGGGCATGAATGAGCAATGAATATGAGATGGCCGTGGGAATACTGGGACTAGCCTCAGTTTTATTCACAGAGAATTACTAGTTAGAAAGCAATAGGCAAAAAGCACTGCTTAGGAAGCTTTTTTCCTTATTTCCCGGCCCTCTCCATGGTCTCATACGGACTGCCCAAAAAGTGAAAAATGAGAACAGGCTCAAAACTAAGGCAAAATACATTGTAAAATATGGTCAACAAAAGCTTATCCCTTACAGTAAGGAATCACTTTATTCAGATAAAGTGCATTTTTCCCTCCATTGTAATTGTTTACCAAGCATTGAAGATTTGGGACATGAGATGTAAGAGATGCTTGTTTCACAATATGAGGTTGCTTGGTCTGTTATGTGGTTGCCATCCATGAAAAATGCCCATCAGCCTGGCTGGGTTCTCAAAGTAAATCGGAGTTCTTGAGAAAGAGGTTGTCTCATCCTGCAACATTTATTTTGCATAGTGGCTCTGGGGGTCTAGTCTTCCTGCCAACAACTGAACACCTATTTGCCTGTATGGTTACTGTGTACTGTACTGACCTGTTAGGGCATCTTCCAAAGAGATCTGTGCAGGTGCCTACTGCATATCCACCTTTAGCCTTGAAGAACATGTAGGAGTGGCTTTAAAAATATTCTTCTTTTGTTTCCCTGGATAAAAAAGATGACTGGTCTGTCGTGAATTTTGGATCTCAATTTACACATACGAATTAGTGGCTCCTTTTACCTGTCTGAGGCTTCGATAAGGTCCTCTGTGTGTGCACCACGTCCCTGCATGGGAGCCCTCAGCTCTTTGAGCTCGCTTCCTGTGGTTCGCTGTGACCTCCGGTCACAGCCTCGAGGTACAGGCCTGCAGACCTAATGGTGTTGCGATGTCAACCTTGGGCGCAAAAGCGTTCAAGTCCCTCTTTACCCACAAACTTCTTGCCAGACTGTGGGCCATCCCTGATGCGTAATAGGGTGTAGGTATCTGCTGGTGGAAATAAGCACTTAATGGAGTTTCAAAATTCTAAACCAACCCTACCTGAGATTCTTGTGAAAAATGCCACACGTGCTCACTTGCATCCCAGGTACCCAAATACCTTGAAATGCTAGTCCTCTCTGATCCAATCCTCTGGTCTCTCTACCTGTGCTGTGGGACCGCAGCATTTTCACACTTCACAGGCACGTCATGAAGGTAAGCACGGTCACTCGGTGAAGCATTCCAGTAATTCAGTGGTAAGAGTTTGTATTATCTTTTAAGACAAATAAACAAATGGATGCTCCTTATACACCAAGCTACAATTTGCTCCAGATTTTTAAGACAAATTGGTTGATAAATTCTGTTTCACTTAATTTCCACTAACCTATAAAGAAGGCTTTGTGACATGTTTAACGCTTTAGGATAGTTGCAAGCTTGTCTAACCATCACTTCAGGAATGGTATTTTCAGAATATTTGATTAAGTTTTTCATTGCAAATATTTTGAGCTTGTCTAACCATCACTTCAGGAATGGCGTTTTTGGAGGATTTGATTAAACTTTTCATTGCAAATATTTTATCTAGCAAATTTAGCATTATTTTCCTGTCTGGAAAATAATTCCTCTGCATGTAGATGGGTTCATTACCTGTGCAGTAGTTTGGTTTTGCAAAGCACCAATTCTTAATTTTGCATATTTGTGGTCTTTATAATTGATCACTTGCAGATGCTATTGCTTACTTCCCAAAGAACAAGGAAACCTTTATAAACCGTAGATAATCTCATTTGAACGCAGACACTGTTGCTGTCATGCAAGCTTGGGTAATCTGATGTAAATCAGCCACTTTCCAAACATCTACTCAAGCAATAATCCATTTGGTCAAATTCAGACCTGCCCTTTCCAGATGAGAGGGTCTGCCTCTCTCTTCTGCCTGGGGAAAAATGAATGAAAGGAATGAAAGGAAGGAACAACCTCTTGAGATCCCTTCTAGCTGTATCCCGTGTGATGGAGGCTAAGAAAGGGCAAGTACTTGCCAACCAAGCTGGGTTCTAGTCATAGCTCTACAAAAGGCTTGTGAAAGTTGCTTGCCTGCTGTGCTTCAGCTTCTTCGTATATCAGATGGGAATAACAACAATACCCCTTCCCGACTCTTTTCTTCCTGGAGGCGTTTTCATGCTATACCAGTTAGTACTTGTAAAATATGTTGTGGTCCTTGGATGGCAAACTCTGGAAATGTTTATAAATATAGCTTTATGGTTTTACCTCTGCAGCATGATACAGTTTAAGCAATGAAGTTCTCTCATAAGAAACTCTCATCGTTTTATGTCCAAAACTTTCCAAACCCTACTTTCTAAACCTTAGGATTAAATACAGAACTGATTAAAATTGTCTTCCTTTATCAATATTCTCCACAAGGATGAAAGATTTTCTTAACGTACAAGTAAGACAAAACCAACCAAACACAAATCTAACAAACAGTGTTATTTTGTAGACTCATTTTTGTGAGCATTTTAATTTAGTTGAAAACACATTCTCTGAAGCTTCCTTCCCATGACAACAGGACATTTTTAACTAGCCTTAAGCAGTAAACCTAAAAAGGGACTACAAGGCTCAGACATTTCTCGGTAGAAAGGATGTGAAAGATGAATCTCCATTTCCTTTGCTCTGGGCATGTACTTTTCAACCCTCTCCTCAGTAATCAGTTTACTGAAAATAATGGCAATCTGGCAACTGTTCTTCCAAGGCCTTGATGGTGCTACACAAGTTAGCCATTATGACTGTCTTGCTCTGCAGTAACCCCCTACGGCCTATTAACAAGTGGGATACATGAACTTCAAAGGTGATTTTTGCCTCTTTTGGGCTTACGACCCTGATAACAGTTCTTCAGCATATCAACCTTATAAAAAGATGGAGGGACTCCTGGATGGATGCTCTTGCCAAACAGCAG